TCCTTTATCAAAAGACTTGATAACATACCAATAATGTTGAACCATGGATCTTTGATTGTTGGAAAAACAGGTATTTTCAAAAGAATTAGCAAATGAAATGGTTTCTCTTATTTTTACCCATTAATTTACGATAAACAGTAGAATGTATGAGTTGTTTCATAATTCGCATTAATTCTTGTTTTTCCTAATTTTAAGATCCAGTTCAACATTATTGGTATGTTATCAAGTCTTTTGATAAAGGAACGATTTGATATTGCACCCAATTTCAAAAACATGGTATGAGTGTGAAAGACATTTTTTTTAACTGACTTTCACTAGCCGTTATCCTATAAAATATGAAACGAAGACAGAATATTTTGAAAAGCTCTATATAATGTGCAATCGATATAGAGATAATAATGACGTAAAAATCCATTTAGCAGAATTTAAGATAAACAAGCAGTTATATCGAGAGAATTACTGATATTCTCTTGTGGGTCATTTTATGGTGAATATGCTCCTGGAATTTTCTTTCAAATCATGGAGTGTGCCAGTTTCGTATAAATTGCTAAATGTTTTAGGAAATTATTATTATTTGAAAGATTAGCGATATTCAGTATTATAAATATATAAGATATATGATATAAATCTCAAATCGATATATATATATGTCGACCTATATTTAGCTTCCGTGAGATTCTTCTAAGTTGAGAAGATATCCAAATGTAATTGTAAAGCGCGACGAGAACAGTATATTGAAATTCGTTAAATGTGAAGAGAACGTTTTGAATAAATATTAGTATAATATATTATTGCATATTATTAGGATCAAACAGGAGTAGTTATATAAAACTAATTCGTCATGCAATCAGTACACTTGGTCATCATTATCAATTCATTTAGCATCCTGAAATCGATAAAGATGCAAACAAAATCGATGTTGACCAAGTTCCATTACAACAAGCAAATGAATTATCATCGACATCAAGCAAAATGTTGAAAGCCTCATTCATTGCTAAAGTATGCACCGAGTTGGCTGTAACAAAAAATTTAGCAACAACAGATACATTTTTATGTCATGATGAAGGGGATGTTATTTTGTCAACACTTGGTTTTTATTCACCTTCGGACTCCAAGCATGCTGCTGGTTGTAATGGAGTATAATATCTTTAATTACATGGCATATGTCATCATAAAAAACAAATGATGGAATAGTTGGTGTAATACGAATAATTGTGCATAATAAATTTACGAATTCTTTAACGGTTTCAGTATTTTTTGACAGTGCCCGATCTAAGTATCATTTCAGTGAAATAATTTTCCATATTTCCAATTCCATATTTTCACGTGTCAACTTCAATTTTTCATTTTTGCTCATAAAATTGTAATAGTCAGAGAATTTTTCGAATGGTGGTACGGTATTGATCAATTGTGCTGCAAAATCTTCCAAAACTATCTTTGTGAAACAAGTACGACCACCGTATTAAAAGTAATCAGTATGGCGAAACAAATCCGACGTCGTGTATCGTTGGTCGTCAATTTGTATAAAATTTGGAAATGTAAAAATCTTGTACGTTTGTTCATCTAAAAATAAAAGAGAACGTTCTTACGAAGGATAAACGCTCGCCTTACATTCACGTAGGCACAAACTGAATGTACGTTAACAGAACAGTGGCTTCTGTACAGTGACTGCAAGTTCGCTTCAGTTCACGAAGGTTCAGTGAAATTTGCACTATGCACGTTAAGTGCATAGCTTTGTAGCTCCTGTTTTTGTTTGATGCAGTCTTCAGCTGCACTTATTCAAAGAATAAACATCTTTGCTTGCCTGTGAGCTTAGCCATATAAAATAGGAAGAAACACTCCCCATTAAGAGAAAGACGCACTGATTTGTACTACTTCTGTAGCTTTTAACGTCAACATATTTTTTTACCTGATAAAAAAAGGTACGATACGGATTTAAGAAGGGTTTCGAGAATTGAAACCATTTCCAAACCGCTTTTAGGATTTGGTAAGTACCGGCGAAACCAAAAATAAACGAATGAAAAATTTTCGCTTTTGTATTCTGTTCTGAAATACGCCTATTTCCAAACTACCGACATAAAAAGCTGAAAACAAGCATCGTAATTCTGCTTGAAAAGTACCGGTTCCCTACAACTCTATGTAATTACACCATCTGCATTGATCATGCTTAAGCGTCGGTAGCAAAAGAAAAAGAATCTTAAAATGCACTTCGTTGACTTTGTATGATTAATACATGAGCAACACTTGTAAATAGGACAGATGTGAAGCAACAAGTAACGTTCATCGTCGATTCACTGACCCTTGGCTGAAAGTCCGTTTCCGACAAGAATTCCGACCGACGGGTCTTTGTTCAGATGTTACGGTCATTTTTTTGTTTTTCTCAGTGAAAACACGCAAAAATGAGAAAATTCGTATCGTTGTCAAGCAGAGGCGTATATATCGCAGATTTATAAGCGTGACTCTTCAGTAGGTGTCTTATAAATGAAAGGAAACTCATCGAAGATTACATCGTACAAAGCTGCTGCCAGGATATAAAATGTGCGATATTCAATTTCGGATCGTTTTCTCAGTGACAGCAAAGCTGTTAAATGCTTGCTTCACAGTGGAAAATGCCAATTATTAATCAATAATTGGTAAATAATTAATTAATCAATAATTGGTAAATAATTAATTAACCAATAATTAATTAAATTTTGCAGCCAAAAGCCCATGCTCAGTTGCATGGATTCTTCGGCTTCTAAATGGTCAGTCAACCAATAGCCGGACTTCTCGGCTTTTTAGACACAAAAGTGGGAAAATTCTTTTTTTGTCGCTAGTGCTCGGGAGGACGCGTGCGACGATGTCGCTCGTCTGCTGCGGACCGTCGGACGGACATTTTGTTTGTATGGCCCAAGACTTTCAGTCAAGGGAATAAAAAAATGTATAGCGATCTACCGCAAATTATATTGTTTTTTATGTAACAATTTGAGAGCTTCCACCTAAGAGAATTGCAGTAATGTTCTATAAATTCAAGAGAAATCTGTATTTTACTCTCTGTTAATACAGCGAGACTGTCAGCAGAATTTTCAAACACATAAAAATATAATAATTTATTGATGATATGTTGATCTCATACAAAAAAATACATTCACATAGAAATTGCCTATCCATGATATACATAAGAATCAGCGTATCGCATATGTAGCAGTTTCTGCACTATACAGTAAGTCATACTCACATAAGCGGCGGGTAAATAAATTTTATCCATACATTGATGCATGACTGATAAAGAAAAGATTAATAAATTAGATATCAGATTATACTCATTCCGTTATGGAATGTAAAAGACTTTAACTCTTTAGACTTCAAATGGACTTGATAAAACCCAAGTCCAATTCCGTTAAAAAATCCTTCAAAAAATCCTCCAAACTTGGACTTGCCCACCTCCGGTTGGAGAGCGGTTGTATGAGGATCTTGTTTTTGTTTACTTTCAGGTATATTTTGGTACTCAACACGCTCAAATGTGCATGATAATCAATTTAATTGGTATCAATTGTGTAACGAAAATGTCATGTTTGATTTGAAAAAATGCTATGGATGGAGTGAGAAGGTTAATAGCATCTGGATGTTAAATTGTCAAACATTTTTATTTATGATATGAAGCAGCGAAAGAGTAAGTTTGTTTTACTTTATTTTTCGTATTAGACTACAGTAAATTACTCGACTTCTTTTTATTCGATGTATATGCGCTATTTCTAAAGCATTCCGTTTTGATCAATATTTCTTTGTTTCTTTTTTTAAAAGCCTTTTGAAGTAATTATTTTTTGGAATGGCTATTGCCACCATTAGAAAGTGATACTGACGGTTATTGAAACCTTCTGAAAATGTTGATAGCTCCTTAGTGACACGTCTGGAGGTCATGATAGCTCCTTTTAGGCACCTGGAGAGGGGACACACTTATGTTTTCCAAGGTCGATAACTGCCAAAATAAAAGATAATTGGTCCATTGTCGCCACTCAAACATTGATCAAAAATACAACCTACTAATTTATCAGTTTTAGTTTTCTCAAGAGTAAAAATGCTACCCTCTAAATTTACAAAGGGTTTCTATCATTTATTGTCCATGGAAGAGGTTTTTCTTCAATTAACTACCATTTGTGGTTAATAAGAATGGGACTATTTTTCTGCTTTTAGAGGTTAATAAATTCGTGTGGCACCAGCATCTCTTCTCCAGAGTGGCGGTGAATATATTATCGGAACAGATGATTTGTATAAAGTCTGTTCGGGATACAGAGCATTCTTCTAGGATAATCAGCTCTTTATTCGACATAGTATTTACACAAAATCTATTCTAACAGTCGAGAATTTTCTGTATCATTAATTTGAGCTAACTGATCGCGTATTTACTTTGTGTAAGAAAGCTGCAACTTCTGCTGTTATGCCATCGTAGAAAAATCTCTCGCTTGAGGCGTGCATGAAAAACTTTAAATTATCATTCCGGATCCTCACGATTTTATTTGATCGCTACCTGGAAGGAAGAAGGAAGGAAGAATATCCCGCCTTTCGGCTATCTTACGGTATACAGTTACGGTAGACAGTTTCATAATATCTTTCCTACAATTAACTAGCTTTATCTCTGGACAGAAGGCCAGCCTGACTCAGAGTTCTTTTGTTAATCGTTTGAGCTCCCCGTACACACTGACCAATCACATACTAATCACGAGGGCTAGTGTATATCACAACGTAGTCAACATGCTATCTGACGGGTGATCCGAGGCAAACAACCGTTAATGACTTGCCTAGGGTCATTCCACGTCTGGTGGCGCCGAGGCTCGAACACAGTACCTTCGGGGTACGTGCCAAACAACTTAACCACACAGCCATAGTGGCTTCATCCCTACCTGAATGTAGAGACACTCGAAACAATAATTCTGTTTTGAATGTTATTTCTGCTCGCAAATCTTGTTTTCCAGGTTCTTTTAAACTAAGAACACCCAGGGAATGACATAAATCACAATTTACTATTGTTAAAAGTTGTTTTCTTTCTCGGTTTACTGGTATTTCGTATGCGTAAAACTGGACTCCTACAATAACAATGTAGATTTTTCTTTATAACTACGTATTTGCTGCTTCTCTTTAAGATTATTGAACTTTACATGCGGTACTCTGTTAGACGTTGATTTCTTTCCTTGTTTAGACGTTCAGAACTTTTAGAATTTTAGAGCTTTGTTAGAGAACAGTTTTTTCGTGTTCAAGCCAATATTATACTAAAACTTTTTATTCTGCCTTTTATTTTACAAAAAATCCAATATTAAGAGTTATACTACAGACTTTGAGTCTTCTGGAACCACAGTGATGAGAAACAACCGTAACGTAATTAAAAAAGCTGCCATGAAGATTGAAATGAAGCAGTCGAATTCCAAAAAAAATTATTTCTTAATAGCGAATAGCCATCGTTTGTTTGTCCGTTGTACGAATAGTAATCTCTTAAAGGAGAAGAATCGCCTTTAAAAGTTGCCTTTTTATCATTAGTTGACTTTTAATCATAATGAGAACCACTTGATTAGATAGAGCTTGAAACGATGCGTCAAATGCGTATGTTGTTGTCGTGTGTTGACAAGGTTTTTTGGGGAAAATATGGTTTACAAAAAAGGCCTAGTTTTCGGAAAAAACGATGTTTTAAAAAATTCTCCTGAGAGCATGCTTAGCAATTTGGAACTTTTTGTCCGTTAGGAATTTTGCAGCGCTGCACATGTAGATTCTAATCTGACGGTACCAGCTCATGAAAGTGTTTCGCTAAAAAATGATGACAATGTTCAGAAAACGTCTGTTCTGCTGGGAAATGGGACCTCCACAGGTCTGGAAGGTCATTATGACGTTGTTTTAAAATATTTTAAACGTGACATTCGTCATCAGGAGCTCGAGTTGTGCTAGTCCTGTTACTTTCGAACTGTTGGGATAAAGTCGATGTAAACTCTGGTACACTGTCAAAAAAATCACTCAGGGAAATACATTCTAAAAGTGGTTAATTCAATAATAATTAATAATGGATTTGACATTCTAAGGATTTTATTGTGTATCTCGATGGTGTTGACTGCAATATTTTAGTCAGATGATAATCATTCATCTTAGACGAACATGTAATTACTTCACATGATTGATTC